TGATTTCTTGATTGCTGTTCCCATGAGTGTTGATAGTTGATCCAAGAACAATGAAGTCCTTGACAACTTCAATCTTTTCTCCACTGATAAGAATGTTGTTTATTGGTCCAATGGTGAGGATTTTTGTTTTCTTGACATTGAGATGTATTCCATACTGAAGGCTATGCTCTTTGATCTTCATCAGTAAATATTTTAAGTCCACTTGACTTTTAACAAGCAAGGTTGTATCATCTGCATATCACAGGTTGTTAATGAGTCTTCCTCCAATCCTGATGCCACATTTTTCTTCACATAACCCAGGTCCGCAGATTATTTGCTCAGCGTAGAGGTTGAATAGGTATGGTGAAAGAATACAACCCTGTCCTACACCTTTCTTAATTTTAAACCATCCAGTGTTTCCGTGTTCTATTCGAACAACTGCCTCTTGGTCTATGTACAGATTCCTCATGAGCACAATTAAGTGTTCCAGAATACTCATACTTCGCATTGTTGTCCATAGCTTGTCATGATCCACACAATCGAAAGCCTTTGCGTAGTCAATAAATGTGAACATGGTTTACTATGCCAGGAATGACAAATTGAAGAGGAATGGTGTTGCATTCATTGTCAAAAAGAACATATCCACATCAGTCCTGAGGTACAACGCTGTCTGTGATAGGATAATATCCATGCACCTACAGGGAAGCCCAGTTAATGCCACTATTATTCAAATATACGCACCAACCACTAAAGCCAGTGATGATGAAATAGACGAATTCTACCAACTTCTTCAATCTGAAATTGATCCAACATGCAATCAAGCTGTATTGATCATTGTCGGTGATTGGAATGGAAAGGTTGGGAGCAAGGAGGAAGGATCAGTAGTTGGAAAATATGGCCTTGGTGATAGAAATGATGCTGGAGATAGCATGATAGAATTCTGCAAAATCAATGATTTGTTCATTTCAAATACCTTCTTTAGACAGCAAAAGAGACAACTATATACATGGACCTCGCCAGATGGAATACACAGAAATCAAATTGACTATATCTGCAGAAAGAGATGATGGCAAAGCTCCATATCATCAGTCAAAACAAGGCCAGGGGCAGATTGTGGAACAGACCATCAATTGCTCATATACAAATTCAAACTGAAGCTGAAAAAAATGAAAACAAGTCAAGAGAGCCAAAATATGACCTTGAATATATCCCACCTGAATTTAGAGATCATCTGAAGAACAGATTTGATACATTAATACTAACCGTAGCCCTAACCATAATCCTAATACCAGACGAAGTCCTAGACCTAGCCATAGTCCTAACTCCCACACCTTACTCCTACCTCCCCATTTCTCCCAACAGGAATGAATACTTCAGGGAGCAATACTCTAATGCAATCAGCTTTCCTCACCGAGCACCTTGGGGGATACTGCCTTAGTTTTTGTTGTTTTTAGCAGTGTAGCACACATCCTAAAAATTCAGTGAATGCTTGTTGAATTATTTGATAAATAGTATATTTTTCCTTGATATACCAGACCTTAGGTGACATGCTATGTTGAGATCTTACAATGGCTGTGTGTGTGGGGTCGTCCCAAAGACTATATCCCCTGGGCTGATGATTAACTAGGAGGACCCTCAGGAGTTAGCAAATGGTCATACTCACAGCTGCGGTTTTTTTTACTGCAAACGGAACCATCAAAGGGGAAAGGCATATGAGATGAAGTCTGGAAGAAACCAGGTGCAAGCTTCCAAGATCCCCTTCCTGTAGCACCACCCAGGATTTGATGTGGTTATTCTAAGAGCAGCCAAGATGGTGACAGTGTTGTCTTGTGAAATCGTGTCTACCAGGAAACCCCATTAAAGACTAGGTCTTCATGGGGCCAGACGTCACATCTTTTTCCCATGGAGCAGCGGGTGGGTTTGAGCTGCCGACCTTGTGGTTAGCAGTCCAGTGCCTACTTACAGCACCATCATCACATCAGCACAGATTGCTGCCTTTGACTTGTCTGGCTGTGGCACTGTGGGTTAATATGCTGGATGGCAAAGTCGGTTTGAACTGTGAGGCTGGCGGTTCAAACTTACCAGCCGCTTCTCAGAAACCCTATACAGGGTCGCTATGGGCTGGCACTAGTGCAACAACAACAACTTGGTTTGTTGAAGGAGGAGCCCCAGCAGTAGGGTGTAAAGGCAGGCTCAGGTTATAGCAGGACCTATTAGTCTCCTTGTGTGTGTGAGTCAGAACAGGTACACACTGTTCTTAGTTAAGCCTCCCTGTAGCAGGAGATTGATACGGCTGTCTGCTCCCATAAAGATGGACAGTTTTGGAAACCCCATATAGGGTTGCTGTGAGTTGGAATCGACTCCCTGGCAGTGGGTTTGGTTTAGAGCAAGAAAGGGCCATTTCCGTGATTTTCGAGCTTTGCAGAATCAGCATGAGTGACTTGGTTGGGAGGCAGGGTTGGTTTCCAAGTGAGGGCAAATTTTATGTTAACAGCAAAAGTCAAGTCTGAGAGGTCTCAAGTCTTGGGTTTGGTTCTGCAAACCTGTACTTAACTGGTGAGCTTGTTTGAGCTTTAAATAGTTGATGGCTCTTGAAACAAGGGCAGCATGATTTAGGGGAAAGGCCAAACTTGATCTCTGCTGCCTCAGGCACCCTGGCTTCTCAGGTTGCATTCGGGCACCTGCTGTGAAGCCAGGCCAGCCGAGGTCCACCAAGGCCTGAGTCCCTGGGAAAGGCCAAAGTGAGCTTCGGCTCTTGGGCTCAAGGAGAGGATGAAATGGAGAAGAGATAGCTACTAGAGGAAGATGAGCTAGGAGAGGGTTCCGTGGGAAATGCAGAGGCCCCCTCTGGTGAGAGGGAACTGAAAGAAGGATTCCAGAAATCCTCAGAAGTAAATTCTCACTTCCCTGTAGCAACTGACTGTCCAGAGCATTTGGTCATTTGTCTGCGATATCCTTACCCTAACCCATGAAAGAGGGCATAAAGTTCTGTTTGATAGATGAGAAAAGACTCCCCCAGAGAAATGAAATAGCTTGCCAGGAGTCACTTAGCAGATGGTAGAACTGAAACAATCAAACCCCCGGGTCTTCTAGGTTATTTGCACATCACAACTTAACGGGAGGGGCAGTGGTTGTGGCTGAGTCTAGCATGTAAAAAGAGTGTGCTATGATGGCGCTGTTAAGTCTCCTTGTTGAGGACCTGGCTTGGAAAAGAGGGGCTGTGAGCAAAGGCCTCTGTGATGGTTTCCCTCTCTGAATTCCAGTATGACCAAACCCCATTTTTCTCACTCTGCTGTCTTTTCCTTCAGCTCTGTCTGGTGAAAAAGGACCATTGTGTTCTCTAGTACTAGAATGGCCCCGGGAACTTAAAGTTTGCAGGAAAATGGAATGAAAAGACCACGCAGTGTTTTCTACAAGCCCCTTTGTATAGTAAAATGTTAACGTTAAAACAAACTTCTAATCAGTTAGTGAAATGTTTCTGTGAGTGTATCTCATTTGCAGGATATTGTGACAATTAATAAGCATGATCTATTTCTTCAAAGCAATGTGCTGTGTTAAGTATAATTTGGAGTTTTTGTTTGTTATCTCTGAGTAGGTTGTAGTGAAATGAATGATTTCAACCAGTTTTTAGTGATCATGTCTGTTCCTCTAACCCCCCTATATCTGTAAACAATAGGTAGCTGGTATGATTGGTCTACACAAGGAACATTGCAGACTTAAAGGAGGAGGAAGCAGCAGCTTCTGTCTCTCCTCTCTCCCACTTCCACCCTCAGTTAAAGAGATACTTTCCAGTGGGATTGAGGAAGAGTAGTTTAAGCATTTCTCAGGCACGAACAAAGTGGGAGATAACCTAGACAGAGACAAAAGTGTGTTGTTGTTAGTGCAGTCTGGGTTGTTTTGCAGTTAATTTGAATCAACGGCTGCATGAGGAGAGGACGAAGCTGAGATTGTTGTTGTTGTTGTTAAGTGCCAAAGAGTCAGGTTCCGACCCATAGCGACCCTGTATAGGGTTTCTGAGGAGCAGCTGGTGAACATGAAGCGCTGGCTTTCTAGTTCAAGCCGACTTTGCAGTCCAGAGCATTAACCCACAGCACCACACCAGGACTCTAGTAGCTCAATATTATAAGGCCTAAGGATTCCTGGTGTGGCACTGTGGGTTAATGCGCCAGACTGCAAAGCCGTTTGATCTGCAACGTTGCCGGTTCAAGCTCACCAGCTGCACCTCGGAAACCCTATTACAGGATTGCTATGGGTGGGAACCGACTCAGTGGCATTTAATAACAACAACATGAGGTAGTGGGAGGGAGCGTGGTGACTTTTTGATCATGAAATGCAAGGTTGACAGTTTGAAGCCACCAGCTCCGTGGGAGAGAGATGAGGCTTTCTGTTCCCGCAAAAATGTAAAGCCTCTGAAACCCTATGTACAGGTTCTCTAGGAGTTGGAACCAACTCCAAGACACTTAACAACAATAACAAAGTAGTGGGACTCCAGGTGTGACTTTGTAGTATATAAGCATCAGACTGCTAATCCCGCTGTGAGTTGGAACCAACTCACTTGAACTTGATAACAACAAAGTAGTGAGTGTCTGGGATTCTCAGTGTTTTAACTTAGTGTGAACCAATATCAGCTGAGTTACAAGACACGTGATGGGGGCTCAACTCTGCCGTTTAGGAGTAGCGCACTAACCGACAGCTGTTCTGCTGTGAAGAGCAAATGGGTTCATTTTGGAATTGTTAACCATAAAGTAGGCAACACACAACTGTCAATAAATTAAGCTTGTGGCAGTTTTTAGTTGTGTCACAGAAGATGTGCCTGGGTGTGAATGGTCACCATGAGTCGGACCTAACTAGATGGCACTTAACAACAACCTTTACCCCGTTCCATACACCTGCACTTCCGTTGCTCTGCTCATCACTTTCCTTGAGTGATAAGATCTGCTCGTTGTACTATTGGCCGTAAGATGTTCTCAGCTCAGTGGCATCACCTATACTAACCCCTCTCTGTTCTGGACTCTTAACAGGTGACAGAGCTGAATGAGCCGCTGTCCAATGAAGAAAGAAACCTCCTCTCTGTGGCTTACAAGAACGTAGTTGGGGCCCGCCGTTCATCATGGAGGGTCATTAGTAGCATTGAGCAGAAGACATCTGCAGATGGTAATGAGAAGAAGATAGAGATGGTCCGTGCTTACCGTGAAAAGATTGAGAAGGAGTTGGAGGCGGTGTGCCAGGATGTGCTGAGTCTGCTGGATAACTTCCTGATCAAGAATTGTAGCGAGACCCAGTATGAGAGCAAGGTGTTCTACCTGAAGATGAAAGGGGACTACTATCGCTACCTGGCTGAAGTAGCCACCGGAGAGAAGCGGGCAACTGTGGTGGAGTCGTCTGAGAAGGCCTATAGTGAAGCCCATGAGATCAGCAAGGAGCACATGCAGCCCACTCACCCCATCCGATTAGGCTTGGCTCTTAATTACTCCGTTTTCTACTACGAGATCCAGAATGCCCCGGAACAAGCATGCCACTTGGCCAAGACCGCTTTTGATGACGCCATCGCCGAGCTCGACACTCTCAACGAGGACTCCTACAAGGACTCCACGCTCATCATGCAGCTGCTCCGCGACAACCTAACGCTCTGGACAAGCGATCAGCAAGATGACGATGGCGGAGAAGGCAACAATTAGGCCCCCAGGTGGACTGGCAGCGCACGCTGATGCTACTACTGCAGTCTTTATTTTTTTCCCATGAGTTGGGGGTTGGGTAGGGGAGGGAATAGGAGGGATGACCTTCCTAGGGAGGAAACCCACGACATGTCCTGTCTTTGATCGCCTCTTTGACATTTTTGCCAAAATACCACTAGTGGAAAGTCAGGCTAGCTGTGCTGGTATTGGAATAGCAGCCTTACACTGGCATTTGGACTGTTCTCTAGATTAATGCAAGTGGAGCTGTCTGTCTTTAATTTAACTTATTGCTAGATACTAGGGTTTTAAGATGAAAAGAAAACCCCAATGGAATGGCCCTCATTCAATAAGTTCTGTGGTTCCAGTAAGGTTTTTTGTGTACACATGGCTCTTGTCTTAAGTTTTGGGTACTTTCTATCTCATCTGTTTCCGCTGTCCTTTTTTTTTTTATTCCCCCCTACCAGACACGGAATAATTCAAATCCCAAACTGACAGGCTTAGAACATAAGGTGTATTTATCCTTACGGTTTAGGCCTTGTTGGTTGTTTGAAGTCTGATTAGTTGGCAGTATTAACACTAAATTGCAGTTTACAGTATTTCTACATTACAGCCATATGTAACATCAAGCCATCCATGGTGTCTCTCTCTTTGCGAGTTATTTTGGCTTCACCTCCACATCAGCCGTATCAGGTTGATTTTGCTGTATTCTGTCTCCCAGGCCCAAAGACTTGCCTGAGGAGAATCAAAGCGACTTTAGGTTTTGACTTAACAGGTGCTTGGCAGGTGGCTGTGGGATTTTTGTCCTTTTTCCTCTTAAATCCACCAAGAAAATTACTAATCACTTTAATAGAGATGTTAAACACCACAAAACTAAGAGAAAATTCAGGTCTGTATGTCATTTCTTGTGTTGGTATTTTCAGAGAAAATTCTGATTTCTCAGACGCCATCTCGCTCCTTCCTCAGGGAACTCACTGCCATCTCGCTTCTGACTTGATTTTCTTCCTGCTGCACCTCAGCACAGCTGACGAGGCTGAACCTGTTGGGTTGTCAAAGCTGTGTGGTCATTTTTACAAACGTTTGTGGTGCAGTGTGGAAATGCAGGTTCTTAAGAAGCGTGCTGGTGGGAAAATCCGGAAGGAAGTGCTAGATTCATAAATATTCTGTCAAATGTAGGAAGCCTTGTGAAGCGTTGTCAGTGTTTCCTCCCTTGAAAACACTCTTTCCCTAAGTAATTGTTGTTGGAAGAGAAATTCAAATCATTACACCAGGTTAATAAATATATACTTCTATTTGATCCAACGGTTTTCTATATATATATTTTTTTCTTTCTCTCTCTTAATGAAAACATAAAAGTCTAGAGATTTGCTTTTCTTGTGCAATCAAAGCATATTTGGAATTGAAGGAAAGCTACATTGGTAGTTCCACAAATTTCTTCTCAGTTAGCCTTAGGCCCCTCGTTCTCATTTTGGACAAATCTCTGTTTATCTGTAAATATGACGTGCTGAATGTGTGTTCTGTTTATTTTATTTTATTTTTTTACAAAATGAAAACTGTGTGGACTCTCCCGAGATGAGTAATGACACCAAACTTGATTTGTTTGTTTACATATTTAGGCAAGGAGAGGCTTGATAACTAATTGAGGAAAAACTGACAGGCTTTTGCTAATACCAAATTGAGTTTATAATTCTGTACTGAGTATGTCTATCGGGGTCCAGGTGACAGTGAAGATAGAAGAGTGACGGTGATGAACGCCCCTGGGATGAACATACGCTGTCTGTCACTCGGCACAGTTTACCCAGCATGACTTTCCTTAGATGGCTCTTCCATATGCCAGAGCGCAAGTCTCAGCTACCTGCCCCTCCCAGACAGTGAGGAGGAGGCAGCTCGCAGCTTCTGTGTCCTTTACAGAAGCCCAAGTTGTAAGCACTAGGGTGGGAAGAGGTTTCTGCGAGGCTCAGGGGGGCTGCATTCCCTGCTTTCCCTTCATGTCTAGGGAGCAGTGTCGTGTCCTTCCTCACCGCATTTGGAAATGATTTACTGGAATTACAAAACCTATTTTTCTTTTTGGTCCCTAAAATTTCAGCTTTGGCTCTGGCTGCTTTTTAGAATTATGCAAGACAAAATCCTACCTGAGGGCTAAAAACAGAAGAGGGAGTGGGCGACTTGATATTTCAGCAGCTTGAATGGTTTCCTTCCTTTCTTTCTTCTTACAGAAATGCACCTGCCTATGGCACTGTCTCCGTGAAAATGGCTCCAGTATTCTATGATACCGTAGCGTGCATGCTCGTGTTGTATTTCTATACAGTAGCTTGAACTTGATTAACTTATACTGTAGCTGTTATGTATTCCTATGACAAAAAAAAAAAAAAAATGAAGTCTTCAAATTTTTTTTTTTTTTTTTTTTTATTTTTTCCTTTTGGGGGTAAAGTTTGCTCTACCAAATAGTGATCGTAACAAATTGATCTGTTTTGGATGTTGCTATAGTGACATGCAGTTATATATTTTGTTTTTATGGGGGGAGGGGAGCAAAAGAAACACCAGTGTTAGCTTAATCTTAATGTCTGGTGTTTGTCATGGTGAAATTCTAACTATTACAGTCTAGGAGAACAAAGAATATGTTCTCTGAATGAGCCTTTGTGCTTTTTGTCATGTTATGCAGTGAACTCTTTTTAAGGTCTAACCAGTGATTATTTTTCCAACTCCGTGTTTCTCTAAGGAATTCTTTCTCACACGGACCATTCTTAGCAGTTTTCCTCAGTGATGGAATATCATGAATGTGAGTCCATTCTGTAGCTGTCATACGTGGAGCAAATAAACTTACAGATCTGACGTCAGTGCTACTTAGTTTCATTCAATGACTTTAATTTTGTCTTTGCGTTTGAAGAATTGATCAGATACAGGTGGTCTGTTCTCTCCTCCTCCCCCACCCAAGGGATGAAGTTGAATTGAGGGAAAGGGGGCGCGATGGTATATATTGAGAACATCTTTTTCTGGGATGAGAGCCTACTTTCCCGACCTTGCTAAAAGCATTACACTCTCTGTTTCTCATAAAAACGAGCACATTCAACTGGATTCCAGCCTTGCTGAGGGTACAGCTTGCAAGAAGCATAGGACTGAGTTTAAATCTCAGATCCTTTTGACCTTCTGGGCCCTGGAGGTCTGGATTCAATAGGAGATTCGGTTGGAGTCTTGTGCCTAGTCATGTGTCTGTCTCTTAGCGCCTAGTATTGGTGATAATGAAGTCTTGGAAGAGATGGTCCTTTATGCCTGAAAATATTCCGAAGTGAATGGTCTGAGCTCTTTATTAATCCTTTTGAAGTGATCTCCAGGCATTAGTTGGTGTAGACTGAGCTCTAACAGCTTCCTGAAGACCGCCAGCTTTCAGGATGTGAACCCTAGTGACTCAGGGCCCCAGGCGTGGGGGAGGAGGGAGGGTAAGGCTAATTTACTCCATGCACTTGTGCTTCAGGAAAGGGGAGGTGGCCTTGTTTCACACACTGCCAGAAAGTCTTTGTTAGAAATACTAATCCCAATTTCAGGAAGAAAAACCCTCGTGTGAGTAGGTTTTGGGGTTTTTTGCGGTATACTGAATGGATTTCCCTCATTTAGTTCATTTACCATCCAGCCACCCTGTGAGTGCCGCTGGCAGAACTGGCACAGATGTGGAAATAGTCACGCTACTACCGGGCTAACCCAAGTGGAGCCCCAGCCTCTGACCTGAGCTACTTCTGCGGACCCCAGACCATGTCTGTGTAGCCAAGAGACTATACATGGGGGCTTAAGAAGTTGGTGGGAAAATTGCATTGTCTTTAATTTTAAGTCCCAAAGGAGCTCTGGTAGCGTAGTGGTTACAAATGGGGCTGTGAGCCTCAAGGTCAGCAGTTCGAAACTACCAGTGGTTCCGCGGGAGAAAGATGAGGTGGTCTGCTCCCATAAAGATTTTACAGCCTCAGAAACCCTATACAGAGTCAAACCCTGCGTAGGGTCACTATGAGTCGGAACCAACTCCACAACACACAACAACAAACAAGGAGCCCTGGTGGCGCAGTGGGTTACGTGAATTCACCAGCTGCTCCACAGGAGCAAAAATTTTATAGCCTCAGAAACCCTATAACAGGGTCATTGCGCTGAACCAAGTATGGCACACCACCACTACCATACACTGACTGAGCTCTTAGTTCCTCAGGGTAGAGAGAGGAATCAGACACTGGCTGACCAATCAGGAAAAACTGGTCTGAATAAGGTCAGAACAGTGGAAACAGGGCCCAGGCTCCTCAAGGCTCTCCTAAAAGTTGTGACTCCCAACACCTTGTTCCTTGGCCGTAACTTCCCGTTAGCTGATCTGTGCCATGGAGTTGGTTCCAACTCATAGTGGCACTGTATAGGGCTTCGAGAAGCGGCTGGTGGGTTTGAACCGCTGACCTTGTGGTTAGTAGTACAATGCTTATACTAGTGCCAAACCACGACCCAGAAGAGTAGATTGCTGGATCTTTTCTCCTGAGGAGCTGCTGGAGTGTGGGTGTAGGGGTATTGAACCATTTTGGTTAGCAGTCAAGCACTTATATTAACATTTGTGCTGCCAGAGTGCCTTCCATGCACTCTGAATTTCAAAACCAGTTGTGGTTATGTGAGGCAAATATAGATCAGGGGAGTGACTATATATGGAGGACTGCTTGGGCACCCACAGAGCAGAGTCTCCATTCCAACAACTGAGTTTGAGATGCAGTCACCAAATGAGGTGCGTAAGTGCAGGGGACCTCGAGCATAGCAGAGTGCTGGCCCGGCAAGTGTGCAGCCTCCTCTCTGTGTGTAGTTAGGGCATGTGCTCGCCTCTGCTCTGGTCAGCTGAGACTGAGTGCTGAAGAATGGTACCTGCTGTCTCCTGGGTGCACAGTTCTCAAAGCGAACTTGGAGAAACAGCACTGACATTAAGTGGTCACCAGGCCATGTGAAGATGGCATTGCAGCCTGCTGATTGAACTGCTGGGCTCACTTTTCCACTCTAAAGTGTGGGTAACTTTAGAGTCCTTTACTATTTATTCATAGTGACCCTTCAGGGCCAGAGTCAAACTGCTCCTTAGGTTTGTGGAAACAGACAGACTGCCTCAATTTTCTCCCCTATGTTAGTAGCCAGATGCTTAACCCATGGTGCCACCAGGGATTTTTGGTCGTGGTCATAGCGACCCTGCTTAGGGTATCTGAGGCTGTAAATCTTTATGGGAGCAAAAAGCCGCCTCTTTGTCCTGCAGAGCAGCTGGTACAATCAAACAACTGCTCTTGTGTGGTTAGTAGCCCAACCCTGCCTCTTAATTAGCCACAGCTTAATTATTGTGTTTTAATTAAGGAGTTTCAATACCTGTGGTCATTGCAGAGTTAGCGCCAGAGGGGCTGGATCACCCCAGGTAATAGGTTTCTTGGTGTCTCCCGTGATTAAAAACTCCACAGCTGGCAAGACAAAGAGATCACGGTTTCCCAACTTCAGTCGTGTTACCCATGTGGTTCTCTGGCGAAGCCACAGTGCTGGA